TTGGAAGGAGGGGTAAAGCAGGAAGCGTGTGTATGAGAGAGTGCGCAAGAGCTCCCGCCCCCTCCCTTTCTGCCCCTCCTGCTCTCCTTCTCCCACACTCACACACACACTCTCTCTCTCTTAGTCATTTTCAATGTCATAAATTTCCACGTCTCTCTCCTCTACTCGGCTATTACCTGCGCCTCCGTCACCAGCCCTGCTCTCGCTCCCAGATGGGCTAGGCCATCTCCGCTTTGCAAATGACTCAGGGAGAGAGAGGCAGGGAAGGAGGGAGAGAAAGGAGCAGAAAGAGACGGAGAGAAAAAGCCAGCCAGCAGAAGACAAGAGACTGAAGCAGAAAGGGGGAGAGAAGCAGCCCCAGAGAGGCCTCAGTCCTCTCTTCCTGCCTCCTCCACATACAAAAGTCACAGCCACTAGGGAGCCTGCCTGCACCAGGGCAGAAGGGGTGGTGCTGAGTCTGGGGGTGGAATCAGGTCACTCAGTACCCCCATCCCTGTGGGACTTGCTGCAAGTCCTTCCGCCCCCACCGCCCTATCATGTTTCCTGAAGGCCTCTCTATGTGCCAGTGCGGTGCTAGGGGCGAACCAGACACTTGGTATCCCTCTCTCCATCAGCTAAACATAGGAGGCAGACAGACAGGGAGGTGAACCCCTGCCTACAATGTGCTAGGACCCCCTGGGGACACTTGTGGGATGGGGTGGGGTCGGGGAGTGGTTTCAAAGGTCCCACGATTGAAAGTGGGCTGCCCTGGGAGCTGTGCCTCTGGCTCCTGCACAGAGCTCTTCTCACCACCAGTGTGAGGCTCTCTCCTCCGCTCCTATATTTTTTTTAAAAAAGTATTTTTTATTGATTTTTAGAGAGAGGAAGGGAGAGGTAAAGAGAGAGAAACATAGATGTGAGAGTGAGACATCGGCTGCCTGCTGCCTCCTGCCTACTGCATGCCCCCTACCAGGGATCGAGCCTCATAACACGGGCATGTACTCTGACCAGGAATCGAACTGGCAACATTTTGGTGCACAGGATGAGCCACACTGGCCAGGGCCTCCTCTCCTGTCTTTATGGACGCTCTGAGCTTTCTCAGCACTGGTTCATCAGATGACAGCAGGGCCCTGGGAAGACTCAGGTGGTCTGGGAGAGAGAGCAGTTTTAGGAGACCCCATGGTTGGAGAGTGAGGCAGAGGGAGGAGCCAGGTGGGGGTATTGTGGCAGGACTAGGGACAGTGTGGACAGGGACCCAAAGGCCCCCAAGATGCTGCCAGGAGAAACTCAATAAAGCACCAGCTGTGCTTCTGCTGCTTCTAATGATGGGTGTGTGGGAACTGCTAGTGGTGCTAGAAAGACGTGCACCCTGGGCCTGGGACCTATACCAGAACCTCTGAAAGATTTCCTGCTGTACTCCCAATTTCCTTTCAAAACATAGATATGATCATATCACTCTCTCGGTTCAATATCCCAATGGCTCTTCACCCCACTGAAAGGAAACCTGAACTCTTCACCCTGGATTAGAAGGCCAGCTGTTCTGGCCCCGCCCTCTCTCCTGCTTCTTCCCTGACATCTCTCTCCTGACATGGCCTCCAATATGCCCAGGGCCTTTGGACTCACTGTTCTCCTCTTCCCACGGCGCTGGCTCAAATGTGACCTATATGGAGGAGCCAACCCTGACTACCCCATTATCTCTATCATGGCCTTCTGAATATTTTTTTTGTGGCACTTTTTACACTCTGTCATTATTGGTTTATTACCTGTTTACTTGTTTAGTGTCTGTCTTCTCTGATGGATGTGCCTTCCATGAAGTCAGGAACCATGTTTTTCCTGTTCATCAGACAGTATCTGCCATGTCATGAGCCCTCAAGAAGTATTTGTTGAATGAATGAATGAATGAATGAATGATGTTGGAGTAGGCACATTCTCCTCACCTTGGTTTGGATTGGGACTGATGTGGTGATGGATGTTGAGGCTGGTCTGATGGTTTGCAGGTTGCTGTCCATCTGGCAAACTTGTTGAAATCCCAGTGTGATAGATTCCATTTCGATGAGGAGAGGCATCTTGTCCTGATGCTGGGAATTTAGCCTGTGACCCCAGTCAGGCCTTATAAGAGTTTTACTAGTTAGGCGAACGTGATAAACACTATACTACAGTGGGTGGGTGGAAAGAGATGAACCAAAGAACTTGTATGCATATATGCATAACCCATAGACACAGAGAATACGATGTGGAGTCCTGGGGTGGGCGGTGGGGGCGGGCTATAAGGGGGCAATGGGAGAAAAAGGGGACATATGTAATACTTTCAGCAATAAAGATTTTTTAAAAAGTTTTATTTGACCAACGCCCACATATGACGTTCCTCTATCTGTGGGTAAACTCACACACACACTCACCACAGGCACACTCATATCCATGCACAGAGTGGCCTAAAATAAGCCACACTCACACGCATACACAGATCCCCCTCCCCCAGAGATGTATACACATCAAGGCACACAGGACAAGCCCAGTTACCCATATTCCTACACACGCTGGACACAACCCCACAAGTTTATGGTTGAACAGATATACACACACACCTCTACAAATGTATACTTACGTGTGCAGACACAGTAATAAAAACCAACATAATTAAACACTAAAGACATCAGTGGAGAAGACACCTGTTCTCTTGCTCACTGACCTGGGAGTCCACACTGTGCAGTGACAGCCTGGGCTCTGAGCTGCCCGCCAGCAGGGGATGCGCTCTGCTGCTGAGCGATCCACACTCTCCTGCCTCATCCCCGCACCCCCTCTGCTCCGCTACGCCAACCCTCCTGTTCTTGTGAGAGGCTCAGGCTTCAGCAGACTCAGTCTGTGGCCAGAGGCAGGGCTCAGCTGGAACTGGGGTCAGGGCTTGGTCTGTGGCCAAGGTCAAGGTTCACTGGGTGACTGGGGTCAGACTCATCTGGAACCAAGATCAAAGGTCAGTTAGGGGCTGAGATTTTTGTTGATGCCCCTTGTCTCTGCTCACAGGTGTACCTCCCCTATGTGCCATCCCAAGGAGCTGCTGGAGGAATGAGATGCTGGGTCCTCATGGTGCGTGCGTGGGCCTGTGCAGCGATGTAGGGGGGGCAGGTGGGGGCCGGGCTGGGCAGATAGCTGTGAGGTACGTTTCCATCTCCGCGGGTCGGGCGGGCGAAGCCATTTCCAATCTGCTCTCTATCATTTTCAATATCATTAATCCCAGACACTCTATTTTCCATGCCTGCGCAGCCAGGCCCCCGAGTGTGCGCCGTGTAAAGTGACACATATTCATCACCGGCTCGTGGCGCCCGCACCGACGCTGATACAATATTAGTGTTGCCCCCTCCCGCCCCCCGCTCGGGCCCGCTCCGCCCGGCTCCCCGATGGCACGAATCCATCACCTGGAGCTCGTGTCACTTCCCCCAGCAGCCACATTTGTTTGGGCACTTAGGAGGTAATTGTGGCACATTAGCCGGGCGGGGAAGGGCGCCGGGCCCCTGGGAGGAGGGGAGGCTGAGGCATCTTCTCCCACAGCCCAAGCCCATCCTGGTGCTGCTCCTGGACTCGGGCTGGGGTCCCAGCAACCTGCATTCTTGCTCAGCCTTGGAAGGGGTGGTTCAAGGAAGGACCCCATGTAGAGAGGCCAACTTGGGCTCCAACAGGAAGTCTCAGAAGGGTTCCCCAGCTCCCCTGTGAGCCCCAACATTAGGGCTTGGTCTAGTGGTTGGTCTTGCCAACCAGTCTATCCCCCAGTACTGAAGCTTCATTTTAAGTCACATATGTGGGAGGGAGGGAGGTGAGGGAGACAGGAGGGAGGAGACAGTGCCCAGCCCTTGGGAGCTCAGTGGTGAGGGAAAACCTGGCCCTGCCCTGGGAACCATGGTCTGAGAGGGGTGACATGGCGGAGCCTCAGGAGCCCTGTCTGAATCCAGGTAGGGAGGGGGCCTGTCACCCGCTTGAGCAGTAGATGGTGGCCCAGGGCAGGGTGCTTTGGGGACAGCCTCTGGACACTGGGAGGGCCAGAGTGACTACAGTGGAGGGAGGAGCAGCAGCCGGGGTCATTGATCTGGGCAGAGGCCAGGCTAGGCTGGGGCCTGGGTTTTCTCTCCTCCGTCCGCAGGGCTAACACCCATTAACCTCGTCAGCAGACAAATTGCCCGTCTTGTCAAATTCCCATTTAAAATGCAAACTCGATTTGACAGAGTAAACCGAGTGGAGGTGGGAGCGGATAATCCAGTGGAAGCTCATTAGCGGGGCCCAATGAGAGGGGCCTGCTGGGACGGCCTAACGAACCTGCCGTGATGAACCTCCCAGCCTTTCAGCACCCCACCGCCCGCTCAATACCCTGACTCACCTGCCCTCCGGAGTCTGGGGACCCCAGCCGCCTCCTACTGCCTCTGGGAAGGTGCATTCAAGAGCTCTGGAAGCACACAGAGCTGGGAACCAACCTCTGCCCCTCTGACTGCCCACCCAGCGGCCATGGGCAGCAACAACAGTAGCTGTGCCGCCCCCATCCCGCCCTGGGTTTCCACTGGGACACTGCACGGATGTTTTCCTACTTGGCCCTCCCTGTAGGGGTCCTATGAGTTGGCATTATTATCTCATTTACAAATGAGAAACTTGGGACTCAAGAAGGTTGTCCAGCTAGAAATAGGCAGGCAGAGCTTGGATTTGAACCCCAGTCCATCAGACTCCAATGGTCCCTCTTGTAGCCCCTGCACTATTGGCCTTCCTGGATTGGAAATGGCTCTCCTGCCTCCTCCTCTTCTCTGATTTCAATGCTGTCACTAACTGCGTCCTGGGGCAGGCGAAGGTCCTGTCCACCTGGCCTCTCTTGTTCGGTGTTACAGCCAGGCTGCCACTACCTGTTTCTAATAGTTGGAATAACTGATAATTAAGAAGCTGCCAACAGCCCTGGCTGGTGTGTCTCAGTTGATTGAGTGTCGTCCATGCACCAATAGGTTGCCCACCAGTTTGATACCCCCGGTCAGGGCACATGCGGGGTTGTGGGCTGGATCCCCAGTAGGGGGCAAACAGGAGACAACCGCTGGCTGATTCTCTCTCATTGATGTTTCTATCTCTCCCTTCCTCTCTCTCCAAAATCAATAAAAACATATTTTTAAAGTAGAAGCCACCAACCGTCAGTGCATTGTCACTACAACTTGCCTCACCAGGGCACCTCTGCCTCCATCCCTCACAAGCGCAGTGGAGCCCCTGCCACTACATGGGTGGCTGTGCTGCCCAGTGCACCGGGAGCGGTGCTGGGTGACCTTGGGCAAGTGTCCTCTTGGGTCTCATCACCTGGCCTGCCGCTGGCATCATAGCAAGAGCCTTCTCACCCCCCAGTCTCTGCCCCACCCCCATCAGCCCTTCCCAGGTGCCAATGCAATGGCTCTGAATCCCACTACTTTTCCATCATGACTCCTTACTTCCCCCAAGTCCAAATTCCTCAGCTGGCATCAAGGCCCTATACAATCTGGCCTCAGTTTACCCTTCCAGTCTCTCATGGCACAGAGTGTCCTGAGCTCTCCTGTCTCTGCCTTTGCCAGGCTGTGAATCACCCTCATATCCTTGTCTCGCACCACCTCTAGACTCCACACCCACCTAGGAAATCCTCTTCCTCTGCAGCCCCTCTCTGCACCCCCATCCTCACCTGGCTCTAGCCGTGAGCTGGAAGGGACCCCTGTCTGGGAACTGGGGGCTATAGAGAGGAAGAGGCTGGGGCTGTTCTTGGCCTCCCTCCAGTTGTCTGCAGAGCCATCCTCTGAGGCTGGCCTAATTCCCGGCAGAGCCCCGCTCCCATCTTCAGGGTGGTGCTTAGGGAGCTGAGAGCCCAACGTTAATGCCTAAGAAAGTCGTGGGTGGATTAGAAAGCGAGGGGGATTAGGGCCAGAGCTGGTGGCTGATGCCGGAGCAGAGCCCCTCCTCCTGAGGAAGAGGAGGCTAATCCTGCTTAGCGGCTCAGGAGCCAGCAGTGCCGAGAGGGGGGCTTTCTTCCCGTCCACGCAGGCTGCTCAGACCTGCCAGCCTCCCAGGCCCTGGCCCACAGGGCGCAGCCCAGGCAGGCACAGCATTAAGAAGACCCATCTACCCCTTCTGTCCTCCAAACTTTTGGTCCACTGGTGTCCCCCAAGTCATCTCTGCCTTGTCCCCCATACTGCCCCAGCCCTCCACATGTCTCCTTCTCCTCCTCCTCCTCCTCCTCTTCTTCTTCTTCCTCCTCCTCCTCCTCCTTCTTCTTATGTATTTTTTTATTTCAGAGAGGAAGAGAGAGATAGAAACATCAATGATGAGAGAGAATCATTGATCAGCTGTCTCCTGCACTCCCCACACTGGGGATCAAGCCCGCAACCCAGGAAGGTGCCCTGACTCGGAATTGAACCGTGACCTCCTGGTTCATACGTGGACACTCAATCACTAAGCCATGCTGGCTGGGCACGTGGTGCCTTCTTATCCTGCTACCTCTAGACAAACTGCCCTCTCTAGGCACAAGCCCCCTAAATTTTGTAGCTACCCACACCTCCACAAACTGAGCCAGCCCCCCAAGACTCCTAGTGCCCCATTCCTCCATGCTGCCCAGAACATCCACTGTGGATGCTGCGGTGCTGCCCACCCTCCTCAAGGGCCAAGGGCCGAGGCACTTGCTTCTGCGGCTGCTGGGGTGTTGGCTACTGGTGACTCACCATCAAGTTCCTCCCCCAGGGAACTGCCCTCAGCTGCCTCTCCCGGGTTTATGCCCTGTCCCTAGGGGCACTCCACCGGATGACTGGTCCGTGTAGGAGGACAAAGGTCTGGCCCCCTATTTCAGTCCGGGACGAGTCTGAAAGGCCATCCCAGCACCGGAGCTTCCTGTGGGCTTGGTGAAGCCGCTGTTGGGGCAGCACCACAGTGGAACTCTTGCTCTGCCCAGGCCTGCCGCCCCACTGTTTCATAAGCATTGCTCCTCAGATCACTCCCCCGAAAGGCCCCGCCCCGCACACGCCCTCCCTGATCTCTGCACAACGTCTCACCTTCACTTTCTGTTCTAAGTCCCAAGGTCGAGGATGGAAGATCAGGTTGATCAGTGAAGGGTCTGGATGTGGGAGTTCCTGACCTACAAGCCCATCTCAGCCCGAGAGGACCTGCAGTTCTTTCCCTGGGGATTAGTGATCACTCCCCCGAAAGGCCCCGCCCCGCACACGCCCTCCCTGATCTCTGCACAACGTCTCACCTTCACTTTCTGTTCTAAGTCCCAAGGTCGAGGATGGAAGATCAGGTTGATCAGTGAAGGGTCTGGATGTGGGAGTTCCTGACCTACAAGCCCATCTCAGCCCGAGAGGACCTGCAGTTCTTTCCCTGGGGATTAGTAGTCGGGTGGAGGCAGTCCTGTGGACTGGGTGGGGAGAGAGGGCCTGCCCTGGAGACCCGGTCTGATCCTGGCCAGGAAGAGGAAGCAAGAGAAGAGGCAGAAGCCCACCTTGGCTGCCTGCTCTGTGGGCCGTCATTCCACCGTCCATCCAGGTCTTCCCTTGCCAGTTGTGGCTCCCTCTCCAAGGGTCAGCCAGCCAGTGTGATGCCCACATGTGGGAGGACTGGTCGAAGTTAGCGACAGGGGTGTGTGAGAAGAGCGGGAAGGACCCCACCACCAGGCTCAGATCCACTAGGCTTAAAGCTGTGGCACATGGGGATAGACAACCTTCTGCATGCAGGGCCTCTGAGAAATCCTGGTCCCAGGGTAACCTGAGGGCAGGGGCCGGGAACTGGGCAGCTTGACCTGAGAGTCAGTTTTGGATGTGGGGGTCAGTTAAAGGGGACCACTCCCATTCTGCTCCCTTTGATAGACAAATGCTAATGACATTACCAGCGATTGACCAGAAACGAATAAATAATTCAGTCTGGCCTGAAAATGGGAGAAAAGTACTTAAACGCTATTGACAAGCCAGTCCCTGGCCTCATTACCCATGCAGACTCAGGCCTCCACATCGACCATGCCCCCTGATTCCTCCAAACCCCACTGTGGGCAGCCTCAGGCCTCCCTCCCATCAGCCCGGCCCAAGCTGAGTGTAGGAAGGGTGACCAGAGGAGAGCAGATGGAGGGATGAGGTTTGTGGCTAGAGGTACCCCCAGAATGGACAGTGGTTCCCCAAGTCCTTCCTCATTCCCCAAGCACTTGCAGTGGCTTCTGTTCGCAGGAAGGGTGTTCCTGGCCAGTCCCTCTCCAGCGCAGCCCCAGGTGTGCATCCATGGGGGGCACAGGCGTGCACTCACACGCACACAGAGCCCAGCAGCTGCTGCATCCTCTTCTAGGACAAGAGGAGTGCTGACCCCCCAGGCGGCTGTCAGTCACTGTGCTCTCAGGGAATACAAACTCATTAAATGTTTCCCTGCCTTGTCACAGGGGCCCGAGTCCCCGAGTCAGGCCTGAGGAGGAGGAGGAGAAAAAAAACAAATGTGCAGCTGATCCTTTAAAAGCACATCCTGTATTTCTGACCCCTGGAGAAGGGAAAGGGATGATGAAGGGTGGGGATTACCCGAGGAAGGGACTCACCGTGGCTTCTCTGAATTTCCAGCTCTTGCAGCACTGAGCTCCCCCAAGCAGCAGCTCTGTGAAACAAACCCATTTATGTTCTCCAAGAGCCTCCCTCTCTCTTCCTCAGCTGCCTGCGCCTGCCTCCCCTTCATGATGCCTCCTTAGCCATCATCTGGCCCCTTCAGGAAGAACTATGGAGACCGTTCTTCCTCTGACTCCTTCCCTGCTGCCAACACATTTATGCCAGAGTCATGGAGCCTCCATGAGGTTGGACAGTCAGAAGCCAACAAGGCCCACTGGTTAGAGAATGGGGAAACTCAGAGACCTCAGCCCAGCGGGCAGGCTGCCTCCTTGCTGGAGGCTCCTAGCTGGACTCCGGGGTGGGGAATTTTCGAGGGAGGGCTGAGACCTGGGCCTGGAGGTACAGGATGCTCAGTGGGTATGAAGGGCCTGGGCCATAGAGCCCACTTCAGCCCAGCCCAGCCCAGCAAATAGTTCTAACAGGGATCCATCCCCGTGTAAACCAAACAATCTGCTCCTGAGTGTGGGTAGTGGCCCTGGTACTCCCCGACCCCCACTACCTATCCCGAGTAGCCAGACTTATCTCCTTGCCCCTTTTGGAGACCAGACCCTCACCCTGCAGTCTGCAAGGTTTGGGCTGGGTCATCAGCCCTGACCGCCCTCTGGTCTCCCTCCTGCCACACTAGGGCGTAGCCCCAGAACTTCCCTGAACCAGCCTCTTCCTTCCACCCCCTCCCAAGCCAAGTCCAAGGACTCCTCAGTTTTTCCATGCACACTAACCTCTCCCCGCCGAGTTAAAAACTCCATTCCTGTTCATCATCCATAAGACTCTTTCTTCTGGTGTCTCTTCCCTCCCCCTGGAGACCCACACAGAGTCATTTATCCAGATCAACTGGCTCTCCTCAGTGCAAACATTCACAGGAGCATTAACAAGCCTAAAACCCAATTAGCCTTCAATTACTCAGGCCTCAGCCAGATTTTCTGTGATGGGGACAGGGGTAAGGAATGTGTTTGGGCATTTGGGGGCACCGCCTGGGTGGTAGCCCCCTCCTTCCTATGGGTCAACAACCCCCCCCATCATGTGTCACTCCTCCTATCCCAGCCAGTCTCTCCCCACCGCTCTCCCCCCTGCCCTACACTACCACCTTTTCTTTCTTTTTACTCTTCTCTCCTGCTCTCCATTCCTTCCTCGTCCCTCTTAAAAAATTATTATTTTTAAATGCATATAACTAATACGTGATTTGAAGAAAACTCATTGTAAAAACATAATGCAGAAAAATACAAAGAGAAAAATGAAATCCCTACCACCACCCTTTGGTCCCATTGCCAGTAACGGGGGGTTCTCCTTCCTCCCAGACATTTTATTCTATTTATTTACACCCTCTACATAGTTTTAAGTGCTTTTTAAAAACATTTCAAATAGAGGCCCTACTATTCATTGTGTTCGATGACCTACTCTATTCACTGAACAATATATCAGCTGCATCTTTCCAAACAGACCTATCTCCTTCTTCTTCCTGGGTACATAGTATTCCACGGTATGGCCGTAGCTGTATTTAGTCAGTCTTTCCTTGATGGACATCAAGTTGTTGCCAATGTTTGGCAATGACAAGCATCACTGCAGTGACCACCTCTCCTTACACTGCTGTGCAGAGAGGCGAGTGTTGCTGTGGACAGATGCCTAGAAGTGGAGTTGTTTGGAAATGTATATTCAAAATTTTGTTAATTATGGCCAAAATGCCCTTCACCTCCAGAACCTCCAAGGTTGTGCCAATTTGTGCTCCCAAGTCTCCTTTTCCTCTACTCTCATCAACACTGGGTATTATCTTCTAAATGTTTTTTTAAAAAATACATTTGAAAACAACAAGAAAGCCCACTGCATGAGAGAACATATTTGCCAATGTTATCACTGATAAGGGTTTAATCTCCAACCTTTACAGGAAACTCATACAACTTAACAAAAGGGAGATAAACAATCCAATCAAAAAATGGGCAAAGGACCTAAATAGACACTTTTTGAAAGAGGACATTCAGAAAGCCAAGAGACATATGAAAACATGCTCAAAGTCACTAATCATCTGAGAGATGCAAATCAAAACAACAATGAGGTACCATCTCACACCTGTCAAAATGGCTATCATCAACAAATCAACAAACGACAAGTGCTGGAGAGGATGTGGAGAAAAAGGAACACTTGTGCACTGCTGGTGGGAATGCAGACTGGTGCAGCCACTATGGAAGACAGTATGGAGTTTCCTCAAAAAACAAAACATGGAACTCCCATTTGACCCTGTGATCCCACTTCTAGGAATATATCCCAAGAAACCAAAAACACCAATCAGAAAGGATATATGCACCCATATGTTCATAGCAGCACAATTCACCATAGCTAAGATCTGGAAACAGCCTAAGTGCCCATCAGTAGATGAATGGATTAGAAAACTGTGGTACATCTACACGATGGAATACTATGCTGCTGTAAAAAAGAAGGAACTCTTACAATTTGCAACGGCATGGATGGAGCTGGAGAGCATTATGCTAAGTGAAATAAGCCAGTCAATGAAGGAAAAATACCACATGATCTCACTCATTCATGGATAATAGAGACCATTACAAACTTTTGAACAATAATAGATACAGAGGCAGAGCTGCCTCAAACAGATTGTCAAACTGCAGCGGGAAGGCCAGGGAGGGTTGGGGGGCAGGAGGGAGGGGGGTAAGAGATCAACCGAAGGACTTGTATGCATCCATATAAGCATAACCAATGGACATAAGACAATGCGGGGTAGGGGAGCCCAGGGGATTGTCAAGGGCGGGGAAAAAAAAGGACACATATGTAATACCCTTTGTAATACTTATAATATTTTTTTATTCCTTAAAGTAATATAAAATAATATTGAATGGCAACTACAATTAAAAAATAAAATTAAAAATGTTAATGAGGGAAAAAGGAGACACATGTACTACTGTTTGTAATACTTTAAACAATAAAATAAAATTAAAAATAAAAATACATTTGTATTGATTTCAGAGAGGAAGGGAGAAGGAGAGAGAGATAGACATCAATGGTGAGAGAGAACCATCAATGGGCTGCCTCCTGGGGATGGAGCTGGGCATGTGCCCTGACTGGGAACCAAACCATTACCTCCTGGTTCATAGGTTGACACTCAATCACTGAGCACCCCAGCCAGGCTCTTCTAAATGTTTTTTTTTCCAACCAAATAGGGAAATGACATCTTGTTATTTAATGTGTAGTTCTCTTTTTTTCTCATTTACTTTTCCCCTTCCCTTCTCATTTACTTCTATGTCTTACTTCCTTCTCCTCCTTGATTCCATTCTCATTCATTCATTCATTCTCATTCAGTTCTCCTTTCATCCCTGCTTCCTCCCTCTCTTCCACATGTCTTTCTGCTCTCTTCCCCACATCTTCTCATCCCTCTCCTTCCCCCTCTCCTCTCTCTCCTCCTCTGGGTACTACAGTCCTGGGGGGAGGGGCACCCAGAGAAGCTATTAGCTCTGCGCCCCCCCCCCTTGCCCCCGCCCTAATACTCTGAGTCCCACTTGCCTCTTAACACCTCCCTGAGCCTGGGCCTCTAAGCCCCATCTCACTCTCCTCTCCCTCTAATCACTAAGGCTTATTTCTGATTTTCTGAAGTGACAAGGAGCTGGGTTTGGGGGAGGGAGGGCTGTCAGCCAGCATCTCCTAGGATTGAGGGAGGGAAGGCTGCAGGGAGGGAGGCTGAGCTCATGGGATGTGGAGACTTCAGCAAGGCCCTCCTCACTCTGTGTAGACCCGCATTCTCCAGCCCCTTCTGCTTCAGCTTAATGTGCATATACTTCCACCTCAGACTGTCTTTTAGGCTATTTCTTCTAGTTTCTTTTCTGAAGGGAAAGTGACTCCCTGACTCCTCCCCTGCCACCACCCTGCGGCCCCACCTCCCTCTGTCCCACCCCTTTGATCCTGAAGGTGGGAAATGCCTCCAGGACTGCAGACTCCTGTTTCCTACTCCATGGAAATCCCTGCCTCCCTCCCCTGTCCCAAATCCATCCCTCCAAGAGCTCGGTGAATTGGCATAAATTTAATTAAGGACAGCAGCAAGTCTCTTGTCACTTTAAAGACATTTAACATTTAAAATTTGTGCTAAGAAGAGTAGGGGTCTCAAGAGAGGTGGAAGGAGGGGGGCCAGCACAATTTCAGGGAGTTACCCTTGAGCCCCAGTTCTAGCCCCGCTGTGTGACTCTGGATACTCCCCTTGGTGTCTCTGAGCCTTTCCCGAACTTCTAAGAGGCCCACTAGGAGCAGCGTACTCCTGCCTGGAAGTGTTCTCCCTGAGCTAATTTAATTATGTGGCCTAACTGGGCCCAGGCTGGGGAGATGGTTAATGGCAGCTGCAAGACAGTGAGTAATCAAGAATTAATTAAGCATTTCTAGGGATTCCAGAGTCTGGGCCAGGGATTCCTGGGAGCTTGGCTATGGCTGAGTGAGGTGTGGGGCTCCTCCAGCTGCCCGGCCCCCTGCCCTGCCCTGCCCCGGCCCCTGCCTCCTCAGGCGTGGGGGAGGCAGCAGGCCCTAGCTCCAGGAAGGCTTTGGGTTCAGGGCAGCCCAGTAGGCAGTCCCTGCTCAGTGGGATAAGGAGCCCCCCTAATACTCTGAGTCCCACTTTCCTCTTAACATCTCCCTGAGCCTGGGCCTCTAAGCCCACACAGGGACTAGCACGGACAGGCCAATCCAGGAGCCCGCAGTGGAGTGGGCTGTGTGGAGCTGTGCCAGTGGGTCTGCCCGGACATTTCTGTTAAGGACATTTCTGTTGAGGTTGGGGCTCAGTCTAAGGTGGGCGGGTGGCAAAGGAAATGGGCCTCTGGGCTCTCAAGTCAGGCAGCCCTGTGTTCCACTCTCAGCTTTACTACTTGTTAGAGGTGTGCCCTTGCCCAGGAGCCTTCCCACAGCTCCACCGCCTTTGCCTCTGCCCCGTGCCTGTCCCAGCTCTCCAAGGAGCAGGTTCCTTCATAGCCTTCAAGGCTCAGCAGTCTCTCTCCGCAAGAAGAACCACTCAGTTACATGGACCTCTCCCGCCCCTTTTCACAATTACATCCTTTACCTTCTGTTCTGTTCTGGTATTTCTTTACTTGTGTCTCGTGTGCCTATCTGCCTCCTTCACTAGCATAAAGTTCCAAGTGGAGGCACAGACAGGGTCAGGCTGACTCACAGCTGGAACCCCAGAACCCAGAAGGAAGAAATCCCTCTGAACAGTTTGTTTACCTGTAAAATGGGGACATTAATACTCTGCAGGCCCTACGGTTGGGAGGGGGTTAGAGCATGGAAGCGCTGAGCGCCCAGCCTGGCCCAGATCTCGCCAGCAGTGGAGGTCATGACATGATCCACACCAGCAGCGTCGGCCAGGTCGCCGGCACCATTATCATCACCATCACCGTCGTTGGCGAATTTCATGCCCGCCCTCCCGGGCCAAGGTCAATTATGAAGGGAACAATCTGGCGGCCCCTCGGGGAGCGGCGGCCGAGCGATCCCGGGGGATTAGGCCGCAAATCGCGCTGAGCCTCCCTAAGTGACAGCGAGAGAATCGCGCGCGGGGACTCCCCGGCCGCCAGCCCGCCAGGCGCCCAGTTGGGTGAATGGAGGCCGTAGGTCGGGCTGGGCCTGGGAGAGAAGCCCAGGGAGACATCGCAGCCACACTTTTCCAGGCACACAACCGCACAGGTAAAGCTGCACGCCAGGGCCCACGATAACCCGGGTCCACAAGCCCACAAACACACACACACCCTGGCCCACCATCACCCTCCCAAGCCACAAAACACTAGGGAACACCTTGGGGGGCATGAGCACATACACACAGGCTCAGCATC